AGGTTAGAGAGAAATCTTAGGGGGCAATGAGTTATATTCATAAGGGATGCCCAACTCAAAGAACGTAATCAATGTAATTGAATTATATAGAGGAAAATGAACGAAGCACTCAAGCCTCTGTGATCATGAGGTGTCGATGGAGTCAGGTACCAGGCATCAAAGACCCAGAACAAAAAAAATCATATCAATGTGAATGAGAGGGAGCATAGATTAGAGACTCAAAACCCATCTATCGACAACTGGGCATCCCTTTACAGAACAGTCACAAGGAAGAGACAAGCCAGTCAGGGTACAATATAGCACTGATAAAAAATACAACTTTCCTCTAGTTCTTTAATGCTTCCTCCCCGCAACTATCATGACCTCAATTCTACGTTACAAATCCAGCTAGACCAGAGCATGTACATGGGTACAGATAAGAGCTCCAAACACAGGGAATCCAGGACAGATAAACCCCTCAGGACCAATAATGAGAGTAACGATACCAGGAGGGTATGGGGAAGGTAGTAGACCACAATAATCTACCTCTAACCCCCTCCCAGGGGGGACAGACACAGAAAAGTGCATGAAAGAAAAGTTCAGTCAGTGCAAGACATGAAAAAATAATAATTTATAAATTATCAAGGGTTCATGAGGGAGGGTGGGGGACAGAGGGAATAAAAATGAGGAGCTGATACCAAAGACTCAAGTAGAAAGAAAATGTTTTGATAATGATGATGGCAACAAATGTACAAATGTGCTTGACATAATGAATGTATAGATGGATTGTGATAAGAGCTGTATGAGCCCCCAATAATTAAAAAAAAAAGGAATTTTAAACAAAAAAAATTCTAGAGGTAAATACATAAAACATAAAAAATGAAGAGGAAATCATGAGTAGATTAAACCTCCAATAAATCCCCTCTGACTACAGGCCTGGATTGGTAAATCAATACAGCTGCTAACGGGACTAATGGTTTCTTGGGAGTATGACAGGGGAAGTTAGGAGGAAATGGGGCTAATAACAATGAATACAAGAAAAAAGAAAGGGTTGGGAGGGAGGGGAAATGAGGACCTAATGCCGGGGGCTTAAGTGGAGAGGAAATGCTTTGAGAATGATGAGGGCAATGAATGTACAAATGTGCTTTACACAACTGATGTATGTATGGATTGTGATAAGAGTTGTATGAGCTCCTAATAAAATGATTAAAAAATATATAAACAACAACAAAAAGAAAGGATTAAAAAATTGATCTTGGTAATAACTGTACAAATCTTCTTGACATGACTGAACTATTGAATTGTATGATGCGTGAGATATGTGCCAACAAAACTATTTTTAAAAAAGAAGAAACATGTGGACTTGGCGATAAACTAAACACTCCCTCAACTAGATGCTAAGCTGTGCAACTAGAGACCTTCAGGAATACACATTCTGAAACAATGTAACTCTTGTAACTAGAATATAGTAGCTTGATTTAAATGAAAATTACAAGCTTTTATTTTGAAGTAAGTTTAGATTTACATAGAATTACAACATTCAAATTTCTGTTACAACAGAAAACTCAACTTCTTAAAATATCACTTTCAGAACCATGAAGTTTACATTTTTGAGGGATTTATCTGTTGATCAATTAGCATTGCAGTCAGTTCATCAGAAAATCTATGAGAAAACTCAGTGAGAGTCCCTCACTGAATAGCTATCAACACTAACACTAAACAGAGGAACTGTCTGGACTGCAGTCTAATGCTACATGTGGTCAGTGAACTAGGGAAACTTTTTGATTTAAGATGAACTGTATTTCCTTATATAATTTTTATCTGTGGGATTGACTGCTTTTATCATTTTATGGGGGGCTCCTACAAATCTTATGACAGTTCATCAGTCAACTGTATGAAGCACACTTGTACATATGTTGCCATTCATATTTCCAAAATATTTTCTTTCTACTTGAGCCCTTGCTATTAGCGCTTTTCCCCCTCCCTCCCCCACGCTCACTCTCTGGAATCCTTGATCAATTATATATTATTGTTATTTCGTGTCTTACCCTGGCCGTTGTCTCCCTTCACCTACTTTTTCCGTTATTTGTCCCATAACAGGGTGTGTGTGTGTGTGTTATATATACAACCTTGTGATGGGTTCCCCCTTTCTCCCTCTTACCCCCACCACTCCTACCATCCCCCTACCCTGTTATGGCTACTCCCACTACTGTTTCTGAGGGTTCTACCTGTCTTGAATTCCATGTGTCATGTGCTTTTATCTGTACCAATATGTGTACTTACTCCCGTGTAGCCAGATTTGTAAGGTAGAACTGGATCATGGTAGAGGGGAGAAGGAAACATTCAGGAATTAGAAGAATGATGTGTTTTGTCGGTGCTACACTGTACCCTGGTTGAATTGTCCCTTCCTTGTAACCTTTCTGTGGGGTGATGTCCAACTGTCTACAGATGGACTTCAGGTCTCCACTCCAATCCCTCTCATTCACATTGATATAATTGTTTGTTTTGGACTTTTGATACCTGATACCTGATCCCGTCAACACCTAATGATCACACAGGCTGGTGTGCTTCCTCCATGTGGGCTTATTTGCTTCCCTGCTAGACGGCTGCTTGTTTAACTTCAAGCCTTTAAGATCCCAGACCAGCGGTTCTCAACCTATGGGTCGCAACCCTTTTGAGGGTCGAATGACCTTTTCACAGGGGTCGCCCAAATTATAACACTAGCAAATTTACAGTTATGAAGTAGCAACGAAAATAATTTTATGGTTGGGGAGTCACCACAATATGAGGAACTGTATCAAAGGGTTGCAGCCTTAGGAAGGTTAAGAACCACTGCCTCAGATGTTGTATCTTTTGATAGCCGGGCACCCTCCACTTCCTTCATCACATTTGCTTATGCACCCATTTGTCTTCAGCATCGTGTCAGGAAGGTGAGTATCAAACACTGCCAGGTTATTAAAACAAAGTGTTCTTGTATTTATGGATAGCTGCTTTTTTTAAAACTAACTTTTACACTGTCTCTTTTAATGGTTACCAAAAACCTACAGTAAAAGTACTACTGTCATTAGCATGATTGACAGGAAGGAAAAGGAAGATGTAAGTAAGCCCACTGCTGTGGACTCAAGCAGCCCTGGTGGTGTAGTGGTTATGCATTAGGCTGGTAACTGCAAAGTCAGCAGTTCAAAACACCATGGAAGAAAGAAGAGGATGTCTACTCCCATAAAGAGTTACAGTCGTGAAAACTCGCAGGGCCAGTACTACTTTACCCTAGACATAAGGTTGCTAAGGGTTGGAACTGACTTGATGGCAGTGAGTTTGTTTGTTGTGGTTTGGGTTTTTGGCCTTTTTTGAGCTGTGGAACTGATTTTGACCCATAGTAACCTTACAGGACAGAGTAGAACTGCCTGAGTTTTTGAGCTATAAATCTTTTTGTTGCTGTTGCAATTCATCTTATTAATTTATTTATTTTGCTATTTTTTTTAAATCATTTTACTGGGGGCTTGTACAACTCTTATCACAATCCATTCATACATCCACTGTGTCAAGCACATTTGTACATTTGTTACCATCATCATTCTCAAAACATTTGCTTTCTACTTGAGCCCTTGGTATCAGCTCCTCATTTTTCCCCTCCTAATTTATACATTATTGTTATTTTGTCATGTCTTACACTGTCCAAAACATCTCCCTTCACCCACTTCCCTATTGTCCGTCACCCCAGGGAGGGGATTATATATAGATCCTTGTGATCAGTTCCCCCTTTCAACCCCACCTTCCTACCATCCTCCCAGTATTGCCACTCTCACCACTGGTCCTGAGGGGTTCATCTGCCCTGGATTCTGTGTTTCCAGTTCCTATCTGTACCAGTATACATCCTCTGGTTTAGCCAAATATGTGAGGTAGAATTGGGATCATAACAGTGTGTGGTGGGGGCGGGGGGAAGCATTTAACAATTAGCGTAAAGTTGTAAGTAGAATTGGGATCATGATAGTGGAGGGAGCGGGGAGAGAAGCATTTAAGAACTAGAGGAAAGTTGTAAGATTCATCGTTGCTACACCGCACCCTGACTGGCTCATCTCCTCCCCACTCCCCTTCTGTAAGAGGATGTCCAGTTGCCTACAGATGGGATTGGGTCCCCACTCCGCACTCCCCTCACTCACAATGTTGTGATTTTTTTTTTTGTTCTGGTTCTTTGATGCCTGGTACCTGATCCCATAACACCTCGTGATTACACAGGCTGGTGTGCTTCTTCCATGTGGGCTTTGTTGCTTCTCAGTTGGATGGCCACTTGTTTACCTTCAGGCTTTTAAGGCCCCAGACACTCTATCTTTTGATAACCAGCACCATCAGTTTTCTTCACCACATTTGCTTATGCACTTGTTTTGTCTTCAGCGATCGTGTCGGGGAGGTGAGAATCATGGAATGCCAGTTTAATAGAATGATGTGTTCTTGCATTGAGGGAGTACTTGAGTGGAGGGCCAATGTCCATCTGCTACCTTAATACTACTAAACCTATAAATATATGCACATAGATCTATTTCCCTGTAATCATATATAAATATGTACATGCCTGTATTTAGACCTCTGTAAATGCCCTTTGCCTCCTACTTCCTTCCTTTATTTCCTTTTAATTTCCTCTTCTCCCACTATCATGCTCAGAGGCTATAAATGTTTATTGGAACAGAAAGCCTTGTTTTTTCCCCCTGGGAGTGGCTGGTGAGTTTGAACTGATATCCTCATGGTTAGTAGCCCAACACATAACCCACTACATTATTAAGGCTCCTTTAATTTTCATACAGAGATAAACATCTGGATTAAATACAGAGGGCACAGAGCTACTAAGTGACAGAGCTGGGCTTGGGGTCAAGTAATCAAAAGCTGGAACCTATAGTCTAATAACAAAGTGCCCGTGTAGAACAAAAACCAGCTCATTCTTTCATATTCACAATACACATGTACACTTACTGAAAGCAATGACGTGTGCAAGGAAGACAAGCCAAAACTGCCATATCCATTCCTACCTGTGTCTGTCTCATAGCCCGTTCCACTCGGCGTGTGCTTCCTCTCTCAAGTTTTGTCCGGAGGATCAAAGCTGATGTCTGGATGGCCCAGAATTTTGGCTGTGAAAGCAAACACTAACAGAAAAAAGAAAAAACACATACAGAAGGGATGAGTAAGGCAATCTCATTCTGCAGAGGACAACATTAATTCTTCTCCAACAGGATCAGAACACTTCCAGATTCAGACCTGAAATCTTCTCAATGGAAAATAATAAAACATGAGCTCTCAAATATTGTTCTGAAAAATGTATTCATTTAAGTTGAGTCATTATTTAATCTACGTGATCTAATTCTATTGAATAAATCTCTTAGGGAAAGAAAAATCAAGTTCTATCCAGATAATCACAGTCCGAAATCAAGTTTATCATAACATAAGCTACTAAATAATTTTTTATATCTCACGGGTTATATATTTTGAGAAAATAAATTTCATAAAAATAAACACAATCTTTCTCAGATTTTAAATAAATTTTATAAATCACCCAAATTCAAAAATGGAAACAAATTATTAGCAGCCAGGTACGTTTTAATTATAAAAAATCCCAGTTCATAGACACAAGTGCAAATCAGTGCACAGAAAGTCTGGCAACGAAGTTTTTCTTCACTTAGATGCAAAAGAACTCATTTTTCAATTTGCATAATACCCGCTCTGAAATGTATGAAAAGGCATAATGACCTTAGAAAGAACGGGAGTCTCCTACTGAAGTTACAGTGGTGTCCTGTTGTCATCATCACTGATTCGATCCCAACTCACAGTGAGCCGATAGGACAGGGTAGAACTGTCCCTGAGGAGTGGCTGGTTGGTTTTGAAGGGATGACCTTGTGGTTAGCGGTCCAACACGTCACTCACCGCACTACCAGGGCTGCTGTAGAATCTACTACATGAAATGGAAACCCAAACGCAGTGGGAAGCAGTGCGAGTTTGGGATGAATGGAAACAGGGACACGATATAACCTGGTACAGCAGTGACAAGTTTGGTAAACTGAAAACCATTTAAGGCCTCTTTAATAATGATATCGTACAATGAAAACATTACACTAAGTGAAATAAGGCAGGCCTACAAGAACAAATACTGCACTGATCCCTAGAATCAACAAATGGGCAGAGAAAGAAAGCAGATGAGTGGTTGCCAACGGCTGGGGGAGGGGAGAAGTGAGGTGTGGTGGCTTCATGTGTACTGTTTGGTATCGCGAAAATGTTTTGGAAATAAATAGCACTGACATTGTGAATACCATTAAATGCAACTAAATTATTCACTAACAAATGGTTAAAATCACGAGTTCTGTGTTAGAGATATGTCACATTATTTGGAAGGAGTCCTGGTGACTGCTGGGTAAACACTGGGCTGCAAACCACAAGGCCATTTGTTCGAACCCACCAGTCGCTCCTCGGGAGAAAGATGAGGCTGGTCTGCTCCCATAAAGATTTGCAGCCTCAGAAACCTCCATGGGGTTGCGATCGGTCCGAATAGGACTGGATGGTGGTAGGTTTGGGACTTGAGAAACACTCCTAAACCAACCACCCTCCCTGCCAGCGAGAGGATTCCAATTCACAGAGACCCTACAGGGCAGGGGGAACTGCTCCAGGGGATTTCTGAAACAGTACCTACCTCTTGACAGGAGTACCAAGTCTCACATTTCTCCCCCAGAGCAGCTGGTGGTTTTGAACTGCTGAGCTTGTAGTTTAGCACCCCAGTATGTAACCACTCCACTAACGGGGCTCCTCTTAAGGAACATGACTGTATGGCAGGAGCGTTTATTTTAAAATGTGACAGTTCTAAAGAACTGTCAAGGGGGGGGTGGTGTTTTCACTACATAAATCTAGAAATTACCTACAACAAGTTAATTACTGCCTTCTTTTTCTCGTCTCCTTATTAAAGGGATCACCATCTGTGAGCTCATGATGATAGGACGGAAGAGCAATGAGACAACAACACTTCCATACAACAGTAAAGAGAGTCTCTGGCTCAGTCACAGCCTGATTAGAATCCCAGCTCCACTGATTAGCTAGAAGGCTAGGCAGAGTTACTTAACCCTGTGGGTCTTACTTTCCGCCTCTAAACAAGAATTCCCACCCTTAAGGAGGTGTAGAAGAAGCCCAGAAGGTGAAGTGAGTTATGAGCTGGGCTGCTAAGGGCAAGGTCAACAGTTCAAAGTCACCAGTCGCTCAGTGGGATTAAGATGAGGCTTGCTACTTGCATAAAGAGTTACAGTCTCAGAAACTAACGGTGGCAGTTCTATCCTGTTCTAGAAGGGTCGATATGAGTTGGAACCAACTTGATGGCAGTGAGTGTGGGTTTTGTTCATGGGATGTATGAACAGGAGCCCTGGTGGTAGTGGGCTACATCGGGTTGCTAACCACAAGGTTAGCGGTTCAAAACCATCAATTGCTGAAATGAAAAAAGATGAGGCTTACTAATCCTGTTAAGATTTACAGTCTCAGAAACCCAAAGGGGCAGCTTTCCTCTATCTGGGAAGGTCGATATGATTCAGAATGGACCCACCAGCAGGGAGTTGTTTGGGTTCGAGGGCTGTGAGGGTTAGGAGTGCAGGCAGGTAGAATTGAATGAACACGCTCGGACGGGACTGTTGGCTGTCCTCCAGCATCTCTCCTCCTGTGAAGTTTTTTCTCACCTTGGCAGGGGATCACGAGCACAGTGGAGACGGGGATGGCCCTGCGAGCCCTACTGACCAGTGAACCAACGACAACGTTCCAAAGAACGGCACTGCCAGCCCGTATTACTCACTTTACCACCAACAGTGTTCCAAACATCAGTGCGGGCCACAGGCTTGTTAGAGTTGAACCCCCGTTTTAAGACGGTTGTACTAAATCGGGGAAACTTTTTTCCCAAAGAAAAACAACAAAGTCAGACTGTTTTCCATGCTGGCATGAGAACAAGAGATTTGCCTGAGCTTTTTATGTGAAGGTCAAGCAAAACATTTTCACTAAACACAAAAGTAAAATGTAATCTGACAGACTTTTGGAACACTTTAAAGAAGGAACTGACTACATAATGTTATCACAGAAGAATGCACTTATCATATATCTGTTTGGCTGGAGGTAAATGCTCGAGCAAATCCTACTGATAGAAGGCAACTGTCTATAGGCCATATGTAATATATTTTATAAAACACTGCTGTCCACAAAGAAAGACTCAAAGATAATATGGAGTATTGAGTAAAGAAGAAGAAAACTCAAAATAAATTGTACTGTCCTGACTCTGTAGGAAAATTCTGTTTTGTCTTGTTTAATTTCCGTCCAATAGTTCAACAACCAAATCCAGTGGGAAGAGTATCATCTTAGCCAACCTAACCCACAGGCCATGCCCAGCTGGTACGGAGAGAGCTGATGTGGAGTCGGTACCTGTGCACCCACTAGGCAGTTAATGTTCTTACAGCCACTCCATTTAGCATGGGATCATGGCTAGCCCCTGCCTGCATGGCTGGCTCTGCCCTCTGAGGGCCTTGTTTGACCACTTTCCCTGTGACTGTATTAGTGCATACAATCTGGTTCCCAGTTTTGTTCACCAGTGCCTCACAGACTGTCCTGCATACTGTACAGTGTAAGTGCTCACATTTTTTATACCAAAGTAAAAGTCAGAAGACAGGATATTTTCTTTTACCCTTTCTACCGTACAAAGGTAGTTCTTCTAAAACAGAAATGAAAATTTACAGAAACTGGTGCTTAAAGATTCATCTGATACTGGTGTTAAGTCACTGCTATCAAACTGATACCAACTCACAATGACCCTACATAATAGGGTTTCTGATGTTGTAAATCTATACAGGCATCAGAGAGCATCATCCTCCCTTGGGTTGGCTAGTGGGTTTGAACCAGTGACCTTGTGGTTAGCTGGACAGCACCACCAGGAGTTCTTTTACCTAACATTCCCTATATAAAACTGAGAAAATATTTCCCCAAGGGTGCAATAATGTAAATCATTAGACAACATGAAATTGTAGTTCTATTACTAGTACCATGTATATAATAATTAGTGAAAAAAAGCACTCTGTGATTCATTTAGGCTTTTGTGAGGCAAGCTTATCAATCTAAACTTGATATTTTTTTATTAAAAGAATAAAATAAACATTAAAACTTTTTGGTATGAAGTAATTCCTATATTGTGGCACATGACACATTTTCAACAGGAACTCTGGCAAGGTGGAAAAGCAGACTGCAATGAGAACTGGATTCCAGCCAATGCTCCCTATCAATTAGGAAAGGAATCCACCACTTGGGACCTCTGGTTCCTCACACTGAGGCCTTTAGGACGATGGCATGAGACACGCTTGTCTCCAAGATGACTTGTAGCAATAAAACATCCTTTAACTTGAATCCTCCATTCGGGCTGTGTGTTGCTCAAGGTCTACAAAGGGAACATATGATGAACACATAACTGGGCTCAAACTAACAGCCATTGTCTTCTTTGTAGAAGCCACTAACATTATTTTAGATGAAATATGCAAATGTATTTTCAACATCTCCCCATTTAAAGAATTTGTTTCCCAGAAGTTGAGTTCTTTTACTGCATGAAAAGGCTCTCATCTTTCTACATAATCAAATTACAGTTAGCTCCCATTTTCATGATCTCATTTCCTATTTTCCCTGAAGAATCCATTTTGACAGAGACATAAAATATTTATGTTGTCAGTTCTTATTATTTTTATCTTACATCTACAAAATCACAGTATGTAAATTTCACCATAGTTCATTTTAAAACTGGTCATAGATCGCAAGCAGGGATGACCAGAAGAGTTAGCAGCTTGTTCAGAGGGAAATACAGTATCTACTGAACTAACTGCAAATGGATGTTATGTACTGTGTGAAGAGATGCTGCTACATTACTGAGAGTCCAGACAGCACCAACTCCATGCAGAGTACATAGCTCAAAACATAAATTAAGTGTGACGATTTCACAGAAGCATCGCAGCAGTACTCAACTTGCCGGTGCATGGCTTACAGACCCACCCATGCAAGTACTGACATCACATTTATTTTTTTTTTTTGGTTAATGTTGGTATTTTATTTGTATTGTTTTAATTATCACTGGTCCCTTCCACTACAATGTCTACTG